CACCTGAGCTGGCCTCCAAACACTCCCTTGAACTGGAGCGCCTCATGGGAGAAGGGAGTCAGTGGAACACCCAACAACAACAACAACCTGCTGTCGCTCCTCCTCTCCTCGCAACCGGCTCTCATCCCCTTCCTCCTCCTCCTCCTCCATCCTCCATCCTCTCTCTGTCTCTCATTTGATCCCATCCCTCGCTCCCTGCACCACAGAAGGAGAGCGTGAGCCGAGAGAAGGTAAGGGGGAGGGATGCATGCATGTATGTTGTCCTTGCAGAGCATGTGTGTGTGCGTGTGTGTGTGTGTGGGGGGGGGGGGGTCTCAAATTTCCACTGGCTGAGTAAGTCAGCAACTTGTTTCTTTGAATCAGTTCTCTCGGTGTTAGAAATGTGTGTGTGTGACAGTGGACGCAAGGCACTTTCATCGCGTGGATAGATTGCATTGACCTGTCAATGTTGTGGTTGTGTGATTGTCTTTCTCTCTTGCAACTTGTGATTCTTTTGTATTTGCAGTAGAAAAGCAAAGCAGCAGAGAATAGGGGTTTTAGACAACAAGTGGGGAAAAAACTGCATCCTATTAGTGCTTAAAAGTTTGAAAAAGACTAAGACRCAAACAGGAGATTGAGAGATCCAAGCACAAAGGGACAGTGGCAAGTAAGRACAACAGGAAAAAAAGTATTAATGTATTCAAATGTACATGGCAGCCAGGGAAGAAAATCAGCCGTGAAATCCTCTCAAGTTCCACGATCAATGCTTGTTACCCCGCTGTCATCCTCCTTATGAATCAAAAAGGCCAGATTCTTTTGCCCGTCTGAGTTTTGGCTGTGGCGGTGAAGGGGGGGACAACAGATCCTGCAGGGACCACCCCATGCCATTTAATCTGTCCCTGCCCACAGATAACAGGAGGCAGATGGTYCTGCCAGAGCCCAGGGAGACAGAAGATCGCTGATACAATGTGCAGACAGATAGCACACAGTAAGCCTCGGAAACGGAGCCTGCATCAACTTCCAAACAAATAGACGAAAAGAAGGACACAGGGAGAGACAGGAAAGGGGAAAAAAGGGGCCAAACAGAAGAGAGCTTGAGTTAATCAAAACCCCAAACAGAATCCAGAATAAAAGCAGACATTTGAGAGTCTGGGATAAACAAAATGAAAAGAACAAGCTGAGCAGAGAGCRAGCAGGACCATCAAAGCACTGTCAGGAGCTCATGTGTTTAAAGTGAAGTGTGTATTTATTTATAGAGGGCGGCAGTTAAGTTCACCAAGCTCCCTATCTTAAAGCAAAAAAAAACCCAGCCTGTTTTCTTTTTTTTTTTTTTTGCCTTATGAAAATTCAATTGGCCATAATTTACTGAGGAGCCGTATGCATATTTTATCAGCAGGGCGCGTTTTGAAGAAACAGGCCCTGCAAAGCTTCTTTTTTGTGTGTATGTGCGTCTTCATCTTYGCCAGGAGTGAACGAGGGGGAGTGAGAGAGGGGCTGTGAGGTTGTGAAGCCGTCTGGTAACGTGTGGAGCCCTGGACGTTTGGCACGGGGGCTCAAGCAAACACCAATCAGCTTCATATGTCTGGCTCAAACTCAGAGGCAGATTCGCAGGCCGCTCGTTGCATTGCAAAGATGTTTTGACTCTTCTTGATTCCAGCCATCTCTCTCTCTCTCTGTGTGTGTCTTCTTCCTTGTAATTACTCCAACATCCTCCTCTTCTTCCTCTCCATTTCCACAGCCCTACCCTCCCTCAGACTCCCCCCTTCCTCTCCTCCCTCCCATTTCAATCTGTGTTTTCTTTCCTCTCCCCCTTCTGCATGTCTCTCAGTTAAAGCTTTTATGGGTCGTTCGCTCCCCTTCTTTCTGCGCGAGGATAACGAGCAGGCGCTTCTGTGCGACTTTGAAGCCTCGCGTCGGTTTGTGAGTTTGGATGTCGGATGGTCCCGGGGCCCAAAAAATGTCTGATGTTGCCTTCTGTGGCTGCCTCCGTGATTTCCACGGTGATTGTCATCTGATCTATAGGGCACACTGCGCTGACATGAAACACCTTGTGAAGGCAGGGAGCGTGTTTGCGAACGTCGTCGACTTTGAACAAATGCACTTTCTCTGGAGTGAAAGAAGAAAAAAAAACACTGGAACCTGTAATTATCTACTATCAMGGAGCCACACACAAAACAGCACACCCACATATAGATGTATAAAACCAGAGAGCAAAACGTTTAATGCAAGTTCCTTTTTGTTATCTGATGMATGAATTTATGCTGAGCGTGTGCATCAGACCACCTCTAGGTGTTTCAGATTAATACCTGTAACGTAGGATATTTGGAGATTAGACCCGTTTGAACCCTCCCAACTAAAAATAGAAATGTAGATAGGAAGACATCAACTTCCAAACCACATTAGCTACCCACTTCACACTTTGAAAAGTGGTGCGATGTTTTTTTTACACAGTGTCAAGCTGTGCTACTCACATATCCCAGAGTAATAAAGCACAGAGATTTCTTATCCCCGACATGAATAATTCTGTCTGAATAGGAGAGGATGTTTCTTCGTATCAGTGAATCATCAGTCAGCGCAGCTCTTTAGTGTCTGCGTGAATAGTCCAGTAAAAGTTTAACTAAGTGTGTTTGTGCGCATCACTGCTCGTGTTTGTTGCAGTCGGGCTCTGATTGATGGTCCTGACCTTTCTRTTGTGCGTTTTCAGAGTCTGGGAGATATCCGTTACAGGCGGTAAGGAAGGACGACGAGTGAAGGAGCGAGGAAGTCAGGATCAGCAATGGTAGCCACATTGCTGTCCTGGTGTCTTGGCGCAGCTTTGGCACTGATCTGCGGTTCTCCCCTGGCCCACTCGGCTCTGGTGCCTGAGAACGAGGTGCCACTTCGCCCGACTACATGGTTACCAGAAGGAAAGCTAACCTCTGTAACACTTCCAAAAGGACGAACTCGCAGGTAATGAATCTGCAAAAGCGTTGGTGTCCAATTAAACACAAAGAAGCAGGTTAGTTGGATTAGGAATTTTAAAAAATAGCCAGTGTAATGCTATCAGATCAATTTTGACACTTTAACCCATTTACTCCAGTCACATCAGTTTACAACAAAGCAAAGAAAATTCAGAACATGATGTTGAACTAGCCTGGTAAAAACCAGCCCCTTGTTCTTCGCTTTGCTTTGTACAGAGGGTCTGGAACCTCGGCTATTTAGAAACGATTGCTTGCTGGAGGCATGGACTCTTTTGAAGTTTKAAACGATTGGATCTGGTTTTACCCAATCGCTAATGTCTGGTCGCGACATGTAGYGYGCCAGCTCAACCGTGAAGGAAGCTATGCTAAGAAGCTTATCGGAAATTGCGTAAACAACCATCCCTTACTGGGAAGAGAAAAATACCAAGCCAAACGACATGGCTGTAAGTGAGTGCTGCAGGCTTTGCGAGACAAATTTTAGAATCAACAYGGACTGAATGGCTTCATTCACGTCTTCCGCTGCCGTTGCTAAACTACAGGCAGACTACAATTCTAAAACAGCTCAGAAAATTAGAGTCATTGTTCACAACTCCTCCTTCCATTTGCTGATTGGCTCGGTCGAAATTCTTCCGGAGAAGTCCATGTYAATGGGAGAAGCGGTGAAGGGAGWTTAGAATCGAATGGAATTGCGTAGTAAGACAACGGTCAGGGTAACGTAGACCTTGATTGATAAGATTATTCTACATTAGCAGAGTGACTTGGTAGAGTTGTTGTCTGCTGGCTCGAATCCTGGCAAGTGACTTTTCTGGATAGAGTTTGCATGTTCTCTTAATACATCCATGGGTTTTCTCCAGGTACTCCGGTTTAAATCCCACAGAYCAAAAACATGACTGATGGGCTAATTGGTAACTCTAAATTGTCCCTAGTTTTGAGTGAGAATGTGAATGGTTGTTAGTCTCTGTGATGGACTTGCAACTGTCCAGGATGTTCTCCTGCCCCTCGCACAGTGACTGCTGGATAGGAGCACCAGTGACCGTCGTGACCCTGAAAGGAAGAAGCAGAAGTGTATTGGATGGGGTGGGCAGCAAAGTGGAAAAATGTCCAAGTTCAACAATGTCAAGTTCAATATGTTTTGTTTCCAAGGCATCAAGTTTTTTTAACGAAACAATATGAGATCTACAAAATCAGATCAGTTCAGATTTCGATCTGAAGGGTCTTGGTGAGTCCAAGAAATTACTTGACCAGTCCTGAGAAAAGAAACAGCAACGCAGGCTGGATAAACGCTCTCACTTATAGGCTGCCTGCTTCTGGTTTTAGTCTGAGCTAACATAGAAGCCCATCTGGAAATTTTTTTCCTTTTTTTTGTTCATTTCTCTTTGAAGTTATGTAAATAGTTTGCAAAAGTGTATGCCTGAAAACATTGGAGGGAAGAGACTTGTCATGTAGTTTTTGAGTCTGTCTTCATTTAAAATCAACAGCAGTCAGGTTTGTCTTCAGATTACAGAAGCAGGACGTCCTGCGGGACACATCTCATTTACATGAAGTCACTTACATCTCAACCAGRCGCAAATTATGAGTGAGGAACATAACTCCCTGTCTCTTGAGATGCAAMACTAAACTACCAGAATGCACTGCAGGATTTGTTGTAGGATATGATATGATGTTTCTGCTTTTTTCTTCATTTTCCCTTGTGTGGTTTTTAGTTTTTTCTGTTTTTCTGTTTGTCTAAAGGTAGTGCAACTGTGTTTGCTGCATGACCTGTCTTAACTGCCCCCTTCCCCCTTCCCAAATATACAGGACCTTGTGAATTTATTTCTGTGAAAGGCGCTATATAAATAAAACTTTACTTACTTTACTTTTTTTTAGGAAAAATAACCTGGAAACCATAACGATGAAGACTCCTGCAGTCATGTACCATAATAGGACACAACTGGCAAGCCAAAAAATTATAGTCAAAAACTTATTTAAAGGGATCCCTGATTAGTTGTAACATTAGACTTTATTTGAAAAACATTTATTTTAACTGTAAAATAAAGACTGTAAAAATACTGTAGGTTGTTCAGATTTGTAAAACTTTTTAAAATATATTTTAACATGGACAGAGCCATTTTATTTACACACAAAGCATTCTGGGTAGATGATGACGTGGAGATAGATCATCGGTGTGAGCGAGCTATATCCACCCTGAAGGTTAATCTTGGACAATATCTGATGATCGGCTCTTTTAAATAAAACCAGAGAGC